AAAAATTCATTTGTTAGTTAATCCTCTAGTTTGTTTTTGTCTAATTTTCTTCTAGTGCTAACTCACTCGGTTTAATGACAATTTATACTTCTTTAATGACAATTTACATGGTTTAAGGTGTAACCCCTTACCAATGATATAATTCCACCTGTAAATTATGTTACATGGACTTGGGTACAAGTATCAGTTGCGGGTACATGTCCTAGTGTCAGACCTTTCAAAACCCTAAATCTTATGATTGGATCCAGGGACATGCATCCAAAAGTTGGGGTATGGTATGCTGACACATCCCAAACATTCTAATATATTGTGCAATTTTTGGACGTAAATGTACTTATTTAGGAATGTAGTTGAAATTTAATGGGATTTTAGGAAAAAAGAAGATTTCTATCCCCCATCCATGTGAGAGGAAAGTTTTCTCTACTACCAAACTTGATCTTTTTTATTTTTTATTTTTTTTATCTGGACAGTTTAAAAAAATTAAAGGATCCGATTGTTTAATTTGCGTATGGTGGTTCGACATATGTTCCACACACTAATCCTTGTCATATCCGGTCATACAAACATTACTATTGCTACTTCCACGTCCACCTATAAGGCTACAACAACCATGGAATTTTAGAAGATGTATAAAACAGGCTTAATGTGGTATCTGATATCTTGAGTGTGATCTTGACATGTTATTTTAAAACATTTATCTAATTGACTTGACACAATCTATGGTTATTTTTGGGACATGGTTTCTTTCATAAATACAACCTTCTATTCTAGTAAACAAATACATCAAAAATAGAAAAATTCAAAATTGAGCCCAAAAAAAATTGTAGAAACCTTCATGGGGGTAGGGCCCTGAATGGATGGAACAGGACTGGTGGCAGCAAGGGTAGAACCCGAAGCGAAATCATCAATCCTCAAAGCTATTGCTTGAATGTGCCCCCATAGTGGTAGGCCTGGGGACATCCGTTTCTTTGTATATTCTAAAGAAGCTATGGGAACAGCCGCACAACCATATGCCCTAGCAACATTAGAAAACCTCTCTGGTCCCCAGGATTTACCGTTCTTTCCTGATGTGCTGTCTGAGAGGGAGAGACGGTGTTAAAAGTAACTTGGAAAAAGAAAAGGGGGGAGAGCGAGGGGAAGGGTGGGGCTTACAAGTGAAAAGAAACAGGAACAAAATATGTGAGATTAACCTTGTTGTGATGTTTCTCCCTTGATGGGAGTTCTTACATTAAGGGAGATAAAAAGAGAATGGAGAGTCTGCAGATTAAAGAAGACAAGGGAGAGAGTCCAGAGTATGTCAGGTAATGTGTGTGTGTGTGAGAGAGAGAGAGAGAGAGAGAGAGGGTGTAGAAATTTAATGTATAAAGAGAAATAGAGAATTGTATTATTGATTGATATTTGTTGTGTTTACAATGAGTCCTATATATAGAAGATTAGAGGAGGTAGGTATGTAGTAGGTAAGGAGTAGGTGAAGTGGAGGTGGTAGTGGTGTAGTGGGTTAGGTTTAGTGGAGTAGGTGAGGTGGTAGTGGTGTAGTGGGTTAGGTTTAGTGGAGTAGGTTTAAGTGGGTGAAGTAGGTGGAGAGTAGGTGAATTTTAACAGAGGGATTATCTGAATCTCTGCAAACAACTGAGGGTGCATGCTAGCATTCGTGCCATATACATCTCCTTCAAATTGAAGGCTGAGAACTGTAGAGAATTGGTCTCCTCAAATCACTGATCATAACCCTTTCAACTCCATCAACTAGATTTCTTGTTTAGACCCTCCTTCCTCTTTCCACAATCATGTACCTTTGCCAAGAATGACCGCCACCATCATCAATTAGATCTAATGCATCTGGTTTTATCTGCTTCTTGTAGTCAAGAAGATATGGATAATCCCAACAATTTTTTTTTAACTTCACTAAAAAATTTCCATTTAATTATTCAATCAAATAACTTATTATTTTATCCTTATTTAAAATATGACCAAGATTAGCATACATGGGGAATGCATAATGGCAGTGTTGCTACACAGATCCTATCCTATGTGTGAAAAGCAAGAGATCAACCCCAACCATGAAAATCTTCCTTGTTTCACTTTTGCAATCTCTGAACTCACAAATTGGTCTTTTTTTTGAATTGGATTTACATGCAAAGAGATGACCATTGAGAAAGTCTCTACAGGGCCTAAAGAATGAACTTGGGTTCAGGTGGAAGAGTTTTCTACTTAGGATACAATATTTGGTCCTATGACAAAAGCGGTATGGTGTCACTTGATGATAGCTCTTCAAAACACGACTCCCAATTGTCTGTGTTCATCATTAGAACAGTGTCCAACAGAGAATTAGGTCTATAGTTAACAAATTTAGTGGCATATTTGTCATGACATGGAAGTCTTGTGCATCTTAACATCCTATAATTTTGATTTTGTCTGGTAGGCCTGTGAAACCCTAGGTATAAAGGTTGCAAGCATTGCGTTATCTGTTTTCAATCTATCAATCTATTTATGTTGATGTTCCTAGGTGCTGACTTTTTGGTAAAACAGATTGGAAATCAACATAATTGTTATTTTTTTTTTTTCGTTGCATCTTTTGTCATGATTCATAAGCTTTGCATCAGCAGCAATTTTATAGGAGTAAAAAATATTAGATGATGGGATGAGTCAAAGTCTACAGCTTTGCGTGTTATTGATTTCCTTTGTTTATGTTTTTGTCCATTTCACTTTCATTGTAGGTTGGCTGGGATGAGTCTACTGCAGGTGAGAGGCAGCCACGGGTGTCGTTATGGGAAATTGAGCCTTTGACAACTTTTCCCATGTATCCATCATCTCTCATTCTCTCATTTCTTAGGCTCAAACGCCCTTGGTATCCTGGAGCCTCATCTTTTCAAGGTATTTGTAATGCTGAAATGTTTACAGTAGCATTTTTCTCCCCCATTTTTGGCTACATGGTGGTGGACTAGCATAATTCTCTGAGATGGTTGGGAGCATGTGATGCATCTGCGTTGGTTGTTGTTAATTAAAGTAAGCTTCAGTTTAGGTTAAGGGTTTGTTTCTTGCCAAACTAAGTGAGTTCAAAGTACATTCTAATGCTGTCATTTTAATGTGGCACTATAATGCAGTGAACAAGTAGAAGAAGAACAACAAAAGAAAGGGGGAAGAACAGGATCACAAACCCAAATCAAACATCTTAATCTCAATTATTCAATAATCAAATTGATATCAAGTCTCCTAAAACTTTTTACACAGGGTTATTTATTTGCATTCTAAACAAACTGAAAGCTGGTGGAAACTACTTTATTTTCAATACAATACCTTGAATTGTACAATATGCCCTATTATATAAACTGTAACCAGCAGCTAACTTAAGGAAATACAATTCTACAATAAAGGAATATACAAGAATCATGGTAATCACTATTGACCACCAGCACCATCCTTCTGTACATACCTAAAATAGGATACCTAAAATAGGACTGTCAATAATCATTCCTTAATTATAGGGATTACATATGACTCCTAAACTGTAGGGATTTCCACACAAACCAACTAAAATAAAATTACTATACATTAATTGAATTGCAACTGTAACCTAATAAATAAAATTATAATATAATGCCAAATAAAATAATAAGTCTTGATCTTGAATTCATCTTCATTGTTTGTCTTTTTGTCTCCCATTATTTCCTCCCAGCTAAGAGTTGTGCATGAAGCAGAATGGTGGGGCTTTATGGGTGAAACGGAAATGACGGCTGCGACTTTGAAGGTATTCGTTATGGCAAAGATCTCGTGTGGCATAAGGATGCGTCCCGGGTTAGCGAACTTCATTAGGCTCTGTTTCTTGGTACAATAGAGAAGGCTTTGAGGCACTGTGATTTTTTTTATTTTTCATTTCAGGAATGGGGCTGAACTTGTTTAAGGTGTAGTCAAGTAACGGGCTAGATAACAGTCTTATTCTTGTTAGTTGTGGAATAAAAGGTGATTGTTAAAATAGGAAATAATGGATTGTATTCTTATTTAGTCCCTTGATTGGTGTAATGGCTGGACCATATATTTTGGACCATATATTATGCCTTATGGCACTTCTGTAATTGCTGAGAATTATCAATATAAAAGGGAATGAAGTCTAACTCATTTCCTAGCTCTTTCTTTTCTCTAAACTCACATGGTATTAGAACCTCATTAGGAGGTACCTAAAGTCAATCACAACCTCCTTCTCTTCCACCGTAGGACTGCCCAGGCCACCCAAACCCTTGCCAGGGACAATCGGCAGCCCTATCTTGTTTTTAGAGAGTTGTCGTGATCTCCTAGTGGGTCGCCTAGGCCCTTTGGTGGCTGTCGGTTGCTCTTGGGTGTTCGACTAGGGCCATCGTGGCCTCCTCGTTGGTCGCCTAGGGCCTTAGGTCCTCTCTGGGTGGTCGGCTAGCCTCACAAGTGGCCTTGGTCTGATCTTGGTCATGTTTAGATCTTTGTCATGGGTGGTCATCCTTGTCGTGTTTGCTTTTTGTCCTGTTTACATTTTTTAAATAAATAAATAATAATAATAAAAAATGCAGTAAAAAAGAAGAAGAAGGTTTTTTTTCTTTCTTCTTTATGCTTTCATAGGAGAAATTGTGTCCTTTCCACTCATCTCTTGGGTTTGTGATTGGCATAGTTAGTGGAGTCTCCATGGTAGATTTGACTAGTGAATCTCATACCTCTTAGCCATTTCAGAGCGAGAGTTCTATTATCCCTTTCACTATGACTGATAACCTCAACTATTTGGGATGGCAATTTGAATCCAGCCGGACGGGGACCCGACCCCCCGATCTCGATTTGAGCGGTTTCTCTCCAAAAAATATCCTTAACGGGACAGGGATGGTATTTAAAATTCAATCCCCGATCAGTTTCGGGCTGGGGACGGGGATATGTGTCCCAGTCTCGTACCCGGCCCGTCCCCGTCCCCGCTGGCCCCCGAAATGAATTTACCATTTTACCCCTATATATATATATATATAAAAAAACCAAACCCTCTCACACTCACCACCACGTCTCTCATCTCCCTCCCTCTCATTCTCTGTGTCCCTCTCCCTTTCACTCACCACAGCGTCTCTTATCTGCCTCCCTCTCCCTCTCCCTCTCCCTCTCCCTCTTACTTTCCCTCTCCCTCACTCACTCACTTTGATTTCTCTCTCATTCTCTCATTTCTCGTTATCATCATCATCGTCCAGATCCACGGTGATTTCTCTCTCATTCTCTCACTCCTCGTTATCATCATCATCATCATCCAGATCCACCACCGTGAAGCCATCGATTTGAAGCGTGAAGCCACCGATCTAACAGATCGTGGTCCGTGAACTGTCAAACCAGGCCACTGATCTGAACATCTCTTTTCCTCTCTTTCTCTCTCTATATATGTGTGTGTGTGTGTGTGTGTGTGTGTGTGATAGTGGTCTTCCTTGCCATTGTTCCTCGTATTTGGTTCTGGAAATAATAATCTATATATAGATCTGTGTGTGGGGTAGCGAAGGCGATTAATCAAAGAGCGACAGTGAGAACCGCTTCCCCCCAAATAGATCGAGGAACCGCATCTCAAAAGATAGACAACGGGCGACATCAAGGAGATGGCGATTTTTTCATTCTGCAGCACGCATCTTTGTTGAGGGATATTATACAAGAAGTCTGTTTGATTGATAAGCCTCAGAGTGGTGAAGTAAGTGACAAAACCAAAGTCAATTTATTCCCCCCCCCAATTATCAAAACGTAAAATTTTTAAAACGCCCAACCCGAGTAACAACCATTTTTAGAAGTTTGAAACACCAAAAACACCTCACTTTTATCTTTCATCAAATTATACCCAAGTGGCCTGGAACAATTATCTATGAAGGTAACAAACCATTTGTGACCCCGTTAAAGACACAAAACAAGAGAACCCCATACATCCTATATGATCAAAGAAAATGGAACTGAACTTTTCTTAATAGGAGCAAACGAGGCTCTGTATTGTTTTCTAAGTTGACAAAGACGCACATTGAAAATTTGACACATTATTTTTTTTCAAAAACAGAAGAAAAATAAATGCTTAAGTAATAAAAAAGAGGGTGTCTTAAGCGACAGTGTCATAACCAAATGTCTTCCTTGGTGAGATGATAACAGAATAGATGAATGAGCCAGCTTGTCGGTCTGATCCAGAATGTAGAGACCATGATCCCTCTCTATCCATGCCAATCCTCGTTCTTCATGATAAGGTTAAACAAGACAATGATCAGGAAAAAACATCACTACAATTTAAATCATGGGTAATACGACTCAAAAATAAAAAGATTAACACTGAAATTGGGAACATGAAGGACAAAAAACAAAGGAAGGGAAGAGGTGACATGAATTAAACCTTTCTCTGACACAAACGGAATGGTACCATCAGCAATACGCACTATTTCCTGACCTAAGGAGGGGTTAATATTTGAAAAATAAATTAAAAGAGCCAGACATATGGTGCGAAGGACCAGAAACAATAATCCATGGTATAGTCGTATGAGATAGCAATGCAACATGGGGGAGAAAGCCAAGTTACCTGAATTGGCAAAGGAAGAAAGGGTAACCTAGTAGTAGAATGGAGGCTTTGACGGTCTAGCAAATGGCGAAGAGCAATCTCAAAATCCGATGCAAATAATCCTAAAACATCAGTAGCGGAAGAGACGACTGAAGATGAAGATGGTGACTCAACAGTATCTAAAAAGATGTGCTCGTTGCATTGGCCCCTCAGCCTCTAGACTGACCATACTACCCCCTCGAGTACCAGGACGGTCTCCTCGAGGTCACCAAAGGGATTCCATGCAGCTTCAACAAGTCTCTCGTGTGTGGCGAGGTCGACAAACAGTTGTCACAGTAAAGATTATCGTCTCAGAGGAGGACGAGAACCACGAGTCACACGGTCACCATCACGAGAGGGTGCAGAAACCAAAGCTGAGCGATCAGATAGTAGCAGAAGGAAGCATCGCAATGCAAAACTCACTCTCATTCTGCACAAAAGCAAGCTTCCTAGAAAGAATGAAGCACGATCCATACCAAGTACTCTGCTCTGAATGGATCATACTCCACATTTAAGCCTTCCAAAACTTGAAGAGCCCGCTCTTATACCACAAACTTCCGATAACCAACAAAATCAATGGGACAGACAGGCTTGTAGTCTTGAAGTGAATCAAGTCGCTTCCACACCCATTACTAAGTAAAATACTGAAGAATAGTCATCTCACCTTGGACCAACCTCTCAATGGAGCGACGTAACTTAAAACCTGGGAGAAGTTTCCCTTTCTGGAGTAAGTAAGTAGTGATAGCCTACCAAAATATCCCTGGGCAATGTCCATAGACAGGTAGCCCTCGCCGATTCCGAAACCATAGAATGGATCAACCAATCTATAATCAGAGAATTGGTGATCTCCCATTGGTCATAACGAGGGCTGTGATACTAAGGTGGGTCTTGATACTAGGTGCCTGGATCCTCCCATCAACATATCCCATCTTCGCTCTGCTCTTTAAGAAAATAATCAGACTCTGCAAACCACGCTAGGTAATTCTGGCTGTTGAATAGAGAGGTGGTGATTTAAAGTCATGGTTGATAGGAATGGCAATGGGCCGGGGGCGGGCCGGGGATGACACTCCTCGTACCCGATCCTCGAAGGTTAAAAAAATCCCCGCCTCCGGCCTGATCCCCGACGGGAAAGGCATCTCCTCCCCCGCCCCCGCCCCGCCCCTAACGGGGATCGGGTTTCCCGACCCCGAAAAATCCCCGACAGACCTATTCACAAACACACACTGATCTGTTCAACAACACACACACACACAGATCTGTTCAACAAAAAAAAAAAAATCTGTATATGGACAACAATCTACAACAGATCTAGAACACACACACCCATTACAACAATAGATCTAAAAAAAATTAATCTGTATATATAGGACAACAGATCTAGA